CATTCTTTCCATGTAATCAAAGGTCAAACGCTATGAAGAGGATGAGTAGGTAACTGGGAACTAAAGCAATGACTGAGCAGGAAGCAGAAACTTTCCCACAGCAGGATAATTCAAAGTTTAATCCTATGTGTACTTTCCTAAGTGGAGAGAAAACTGATTCCATACGTGTAACATGATTATTTGTTGCTTTAAGGCCTATGTGAACTGGATCAGAAAGAATGGTGAAGAAGCAACGCTGCCGGCGCTGGGAATGACGAACCATCAGCTGTTTTTTGTGGGATTTGCACAGGTTTGTGTTGATCGTATTGGCATTAGAAAGCCATTTCCTCTTTAATGAACAAAATTAATTAGCATGAAGTTATAATCTGTATCTCCATTTGTAGTTTTCTACAATATAAAAAAAACAGCAGTTTTTTGTTTGTTTCTTTTTTTAGAGAGAAATAAAGTAATTGCTTTGTTGTTAATGAGTATTTAGATATATATCAGAAATAATTGACCAGACTAAACATGACTTGCAGTTTTTAAATACAGATCTATTTATTAAAAAGAAAAAAGCCTTTTGTTTCTTAAATCTGAACTTAACTGAGTGTAATCACATATATTTTGTTTAAGTTCAGTTTCTATAGGCATACCTCAGTTTTTATAAAATATAATATAAAATAAACTGACTGAAAGCATAAAGTAATTAAATACCAGATTTAAAACACAGTCATTGACATCTCTCAGTCAGGAAAGTTTGGGACTCCAGTTAACCACAGTAGAGAAAACATAAAGGCAAACCTTCCCTGGAGTGACTGCTTTATTAAAGATAAACATCAACAAGTTATTCAGAAGGTCACAAAAGAACACAGAACAACATTTAAAGATGTATTTCTGTAAATTACCTCAGTTAATACCATTGTTAATGATTCAACAATAAAAAGAGATGTTAAAATGGCAGCATCTGAAAGTTCCAGAGTGAAAGACCCTGCTGATTAAAGAGAGCATTAAGGCCTATAAACAAATTTGCTTAAAATATTCTATGGACTGATATGACTTGCCTGATAGGTTGTTGGAAGGGGTGCACTCTGATACTGAAAACCAACACAGCATTGTTACAAATACACCAACAAACGCAGTGGGGGCCATGCTGTTTCAGGACCCGAACAACCTGCTGCAATTAAACTAATCATGAATCATAATCTACTGAAAAACACAAAACAATCTTAAGAGCAAAAGCAATTCATCTCTAGATGACTAAAAAAGAAATAAATCAAAGGTTTTGGAATGGCCAGATGAAATTCTGGTCTTTAATTTAAAGGTGTGACCCAAAACAAGAGAATTTAACCTTGAAGACCCTCCATTTCGTCTTTATTGAAGCAATTCAGCTGCCAAGAGTGGCCCAGAATGCTTCCTTAGTGACGCAGGGATGATAAATACAATTAAAGGAGAATTCCGGTTTTTAACACTTTTAGCCCATTTTCTGTAGTGTCCAGGATGAAATCGAATGATCGACACCAAAATTTTGACAATTGGTCCTGTCTCTGCTTTTTGGCTCATGCAGAATCCCCCCCTGGCTGCTTCAGAATGGCTTTCATAGTGCATGTCCGATAATGTCCTTAAAACAACCTTAAACGTTCTTTTTTTAAAATATGCTACTCACCGGGTCGTCAGCGCTGTTCAATGACGTTCCAAAAAAAGTTTCGTAAAGAAAAAACGTTCCTGTAGTGTTTTATTTAGCATTTTGTAAATCCCATTGAGTTCTGTAGGAATAGTCAATATTCCCCTGCCACCGGAAACGGGAATGGGGCCTGTTTACACAGTTGTAGTCTTTTCGCTTCACTCTGTGTACTCCGACGTCAAGGTGCTAACGTCTCTGTTAAACACTTTAAAAAACTCTGAAAATGGAATACGAAAGGTGGATTCTTGATTCTCGACGTCGGAGTACACAGAGTGAAGCGAAAAGACTACAACTGTGTAAACAGGCCCCATTTCCGTTTCCGGTGGCAGGGGAATATTGACTATTCCTACAGAACTCAATGGGATTTACAAAATGCTAAATAAAACACTACAGGAACGTTTTTTCTTTACGAAACTTTTTTTGGAACGTCATTGAACAGCGCTGACGACCCGGTGAGTAGCATATTTTAAAAAAAAGAACGTTTAAGGTTGTTTTAAGGACATTATCGGACATGCACTATGAAAGCCATTCTGAAGCAGCCAGGGGTGGATTAGCCTGGGTGCCAGTCCGAACTTAGTCCCGCCCACAAGGTTTGAGTTCGGGGAAGTTCGGTCTGGCTCTGCTCCATAGTAGCGCGAGTATTATCGCCCACTGTCAGGCGATCCAATCAAATTGTCAGGGCGGGCTTTATACGATGATGGACAGATGATCAAGAGTAACGTTATCAACCACGTGACCAATGCGCGCTTGGGTGACAACAATAATGGCTGCCGCTGGAGAGTTTGGGTGAGTAGATTCTGCTATTAGGTCTGTTCTAGAAGATATCGACAGCAAATTAATTTTAAAAGAGGAACAGAGAAACGCGATCAAGTCTCATCTTCTTATTCTAGGCGTGAAACTGCACGCTTTGATTTTTGTGGACAACAACTATGCCTCGCTTAACATACGTCACGCACTCCGTTGCTCTTATTGGTTGTAGGTCTATCCAATTGAGTGCAGAGGCATTTTTTTTTCCTGGTTCGTTCAAAACACGCCCCATAATCACAGCTCTATGGAGCAGTATCAGACTCATATTCTGACTAGAATTGAGTCGGACTACGTCAGGCTAGGGGTGGATTCTAAATGAGCCAAAAAGCAGAGACAGGACCAATTGTCAAAATTTTGGTGTCGATCATTCGATTTCATCCTGGACACTACAGAAAATGGGCTAAAAGTGTTAAAAACCGGAATTCTCCTTTAAGGCACATAAGAACTGACATATAGGGAAATACATTTTTTATAAAGGACAGGTGGGCTATAACAGTCAAATACTTTTTAACTCCACTGTATGCTATTATTACTTTGATCACAATCCTAATTTAAGGATGTAACAGCTAAGTCTCATCAGAGATCTTCATTGGCTCGTTTTTCAGATGTGATGCCAGCAAATAATGTTTTCTTAGCTCACCAGTGTATAAAGACACCCATACATTAACATTCTTATGTGTCGAAGCTTGTATTGCTGTCAAACGACTAGAGGAAAACCTGGAAAAGATTTCCAGTTAGGTCAGTCCAAAAAAAAACATAAATCCATCTTTGCAACAACATTCAAATCACTTACCTCAAAAATGTATTTTGTTTATTCAAAAATAAGAAAAAAATGTGAAAGCACTAAAGTGATAGTAAACAGCTGTGATCTTTGAGGCTGGATATAAATTGGTGAAATAAAAAGATGTTTTATTTTTTTATTTGTAGGTATGGTGTGCGGTCAGGACACCCGAGAGCTCGCATGAGGGGGTGATCACTGATCCTCACAGCCCGTCAAGATTCAGAGTCATCGGCACCATCTCCAACTCACGGGAATTCTCAAAGCACTTTGGCTGCAAAGCAGATGCTCCAATGAACCCCAAAAATAAGTGTGAGCTCTGGTGACCTTGCCGCCTTGCACTGTCTTTCAACAAACAGTGAAAAGGACACAGAGAAACTTCCACCACACTGACGAAGTCTCTTCGGACGGAAATACAAGAACCACTGAATCCCTTAACGCCGTCCCACTCCACGCTTGTCAGGTTCTTTGTCTTGTCAACCTGTGCCTGCTTCAGGTGGCAGACAGCAGCCTTTTCCACTTCGTCACAAGGACTGTTAATTTAAAACATAGTTTGCCTCACCTTAAACGTAGCTACAAATGTGTTTTCTACACTGGAAACCAAATACGTAGTTGCATAACGGCAGGAGAAAAAAAATTACACAAACTGCCTGTTCATTAAGCAAGGGAGAAGCAAAAAATATTTGTTCTTTCTTTTTTGAATGTATGTCATCTTTCACTGTGCTTTGATCTGCTTTGGTTTATTTATAGGTATTTTTTTAAAAAGCTACCTACAAGATTTATATAAAAAAAATGTTTTTTTTTAAAGTGTTGTGTTTTTATTCTACAGCTGTTTTTTTGATTAAGCCTTTGCAATATTTTAAAATGATTGTTATAAAAAATGTGTCATTAGCAATTTCTAAGCCATGATGTAACATAATTTGTTTTATTTGTAAGTTTGTCACAAATTATTTTGTATAGTAAAATCGATCTTAAAAGTTATTTGTGCCATTTTCACAGATTGTTTTTGTGTTATTTACCTTTAAAATAACCTGGGAAAGTAAGAATATCATGAAAACATTCAAGTTATTCAGTAAAACAAATTTTAAACACTCATTTATTACATAGATTTATGCACAGAATGATAGATTTCAAATGTTTGTTCAATGCAGTGGTTACAGCGCACAAAATTGGCTGTTCACAGGTTAATTTGCAGAAAAAACTAATCAATATACAGAGGCAATAACAAATATTTCTAAGTGTTATGGTCAAAATTTACGTTTAGATTGCGTTTTTTATTTATTTAGATGACTTTTTAAAAGTAAAATACGAGTAATGTCTGCATTTAAACGGTAGATGGCGCTGTTATCACGTTTGTTTTAAATTCCGACTCAACAGTGGCATTTAACTGCACTGTCAGTGGTCTGTGGTTATTTAATAGGTATTCCTTTATCTGTCTAATTATTAATTACTGACATTAAAATGACTATTTATTTTATGAACCCCTAAATTACAATCATTTAGAGTATAAAAAAATATATTGCAATGCATGTAAGTTTTTGACATTTCATTTTTTAATTGCAGCTTTAGTCCCGTTTTTAAGTTTTTAATTAAAATTATTTTATAGAAGTTGATATGTTAATTAAAAAAATGGGAAAATGGCGTTAATCTAAGTTTTGAGGCGCGTTGCGTGTGTTTTGATTGAAGGTTAGTTGATTAACCGAGCGACTCCGTAACTGGCCGAGGATTGCCGAATCATCTGTCCTGCCCGGACTGCTGAAAGCGGCCGCAACGCCATGTTGGCGAAGTCTCCCATCTCTGTGAGAAAAAAAATGATAGAAAACATAATTGCCGAGAAGAAAAGGTAAAACGCCGAGGGAGCAAGAAGAGCGCGGCCACTTGTTTGGTTTGGAAGAAAACGAACCGAGCCGGATCCGCAGAGGTTCCCGGACGGACGAGGGAGGCTAAACCTCCCAACCGTCCCCATGAACAGCACCGCTGATCCGAACAGCGACTTTCCATGAAAAAAAAGACGTTTTTGTGTTTTGCTATTTGAGCTTCGTTCTCCCGGCTCGTTAAAGGGATTTGGGGCCTGCTTCAGGATCAGCTACGCTTACTATATGAATGCAAGCTAAGCTTTGCTTGCATCAGTATTTATTAGTGTTTTATTTTTGATTTTTTTTTCTTTTTCTGCGATGAGTTTGCCACCGAAAGTGGTCGCTAAGCCCACCGCTGTCGCAGTTAGCGGACCTGGAAGTGGCCCCTCTCAGTCGAACCAACTGCGGGCTACCCTGACCTCCGTGTCTCTACCGCCGGGAGCCCCAACTGCTCCCCAGCCTGGCGCCGTACCACCACCTCCGTATCCTTTCACATGGGTAACGCACCAATTTGATCATATATATTCTACTTTTTCCTCTGTCAACATCTGGCCCAGGGTTTGAATTATCGGAAGGTAGCCATGGTTGGATGTAGGGATGATGGTTTCGGTTGGAGGCAGCTGGGAGGGGAGGGTACAATTAGCCTGCTAAGTGTGCTAGTGCTAGCTAATCAAGCCGGTTGTGCTAGCTAATAGCTGTCAGGTTGATTTTAAGGACTTTATGGTGTTTTGGTGTATTTTATTTCATCTGTATTTACATAAGCTAGTATCCGGGCTCTAATTTCGATGTATGAATGTATTTTATAATGTGATGCAGCGGAGCTCCATCACTGAGCTATGTCGGGTCGCTCGCGCCGGTTACCGGCTTTGTTCGTTGTTGCTCGTGATATCACCTAGCAAGAGGTTTTAGCCGCGTGAAAGCGCCAACGCTGCCAAAGCTAAAGCATGGGCAGACCCTGTGTTTGGCAAAGTGTTCAGGTCAGACGATGCTACGGCGTAGAGCTGATGGGCGTCATCTCTTTCAGCGCGCTGACCTGTGGCTTTATGGGGGGATTTGGCTAAAAGGCTAGTTACAGGCCTGTGCTCCAGGAATTGTTTCGATATTGCATAAACAAAACAAAAAACAAAGTAGTTCATGATTGAAGGGGTCAGGGAGTGCCTCTTGACTGAGTTCATGTGGTTTGTTTGAGTGTCATCAGAGGCTTGGATAAACACAGCTTTTCTTTTTCTCATGCTATTGCCATAAATTGGTTTTATTACTCTAGTCCTATGCTCCTTACTTTACCTTAGCCTACTTTTAAAGGTGCAAAGTCACCACGGTTGGGTCATCTCCTGTTTTATTTACAGCATGGTATCAGTAGTGTGTGTGAGTAAAGGGAGGATTAGGTTGTGTGTGAATGTGTGATGTGACAGCCTGGGATGCATCAGCCTAGTCCCCCATCACTCCATGTTTCTGATATCTCAGTGAGGACCAGCTTACAGCAGGTATCATTGCAGACCCCTCTGCAGCTGATCATGTTTTACACAGTTATGTGATGTTTTGAAGCGGCCTAAAGGTTAGATGAGTAAGAAAACCTGTCGATTTGCTGAAATTTGGCTTTTGTTTTGACTCAAGGGGAAATTATTGTTCAGTTTTCCTGACCTACTTTCACATTTATTTAGGGGGTATCAAAGCAGAGGTAATGAAAATGCTCGGAAATCATGTTTACCTTGCTGAGATGGAAAAGTTTTTCTTTTCTCTTTTTCCTATCTTAAAACATTTAATCCGTCAGCTTTCTCTGTGTGTACATTTTGGTGGAATCTGCACTTGGTTATCATTTTATGAACCAGTTAAAATGGTTTGATCTCCTTTAACTGGGATAATGGTTACTTAAATATGATAGAGCTCTAGTTATTTTAATGGGTTTGTGGTGATGCTTTGGTCAGTCCATAAGAGATTGGAATCTATCATTATTATTCTTTTTTGGTTTCTGTGGTCTGTCAAATCCTGAAAAACATTGACATTTTTCTCATTAAATAAATACATTGAACTTTAATATATGTTAATGGACTTGCTTAGTTTAAAAGGACATTTGTGCAGTTGTTAATCATATTTTAATTCTAATAGACATTTAAAATAACTTAAATGTGTCATAGTTCCTTGAAAAAAAATTATGAAATCATCAGACAAGACCAACAAACAGTTTTACATGAAATAGATTTAGGTGTGATACAACTTTTTCATTTCCGATACCGATATTGCAGCTTTGAGAATCGCAGATACCGTTATTGAGGCGATACGACAACAATAAGCAAAAATTGTACCAGCTTTTACTACTTATTTTATACTGTAGGGCGGTAGAAAAGGCTTGATCAATATTAGTAAATCAGGGAACAAAGGTCAACAACTGAAGGTATAAAACAACTGATTCATGTATCCATTGAGTTACAGAATCTTTTAACACAACCAGAGTTTCTCTATTGGCATGAAATTATCTGAGATTTTAGATGCCAGTCTAAATTATTATTATTATTTAAGTGGAGAGTGTGGGTCTTTTCAAAAATTCGTGAAAATTCTCCACTATACCGTTAAGTCGGGACAAATCTGATTGGCGCTCCTCTGGTTTTTGGGAGATAAGGATTTTACTGTGTCCAACCTAGAGGAGGAGACATGAGATTTATAGTTTTAGAACTTTAACAAACGTCTCTTTAAGAATTTTATATCCCCTCTTTCTGATTTCATTACCGGATTATTCTAAATTACGTAAAATAAATGACGGGCTATAGTTGGGTTAAGTTACTGCACTGTATCTGGCTTCTTACAGCCAATCTGAAACCCTAACATTAAATGCTATATTTTAGGGCTGAAACGGATTGATCATGATTTATTGATTTTTGTAATAATTAGCAACCAATTTATTAATTGATTAATCGTTTACTTCAGTCTACAGACTAAAACGTGCCTTAAGCTGAAAGAGCAGCCCACTCAAATCAGTTATGGGACTTTTTCTTGTCCTTTTAATATGCTCTATCCATAAATCCTCAAAGGGCTTAGTTTTAGTTTCAGTTGGTTTAAATTCTTCGTAAAAATTTACTTGAAACGTTTGCCATCCGAATATTAAATGGAAAATGTAATCGAAAAATGAATCGATTAGCTAAATAGTCCTTAGTTGCAGGCCTAATGTATTTGGTTAAATAGTATAACACTGCCAATGATGTAAATTGAGAAATTGATTTGTGGGGGGTGTAGCTTTAGCACACACTTTAAGTGCTAATTTTCTGTATTTAGATTGGTAAGATATGAGATACTAGATTACAGTAATTCTGAATCCTGACACGGGACACAATTCGAAGCAAATTAATCTAACTGCTATAAAAATAAACTTCTTTAATTTGTCCTGGGACACTTAAGCATGCGGTCCAATTCTTTAGGGCTCTGGCGTTATTAACCACAGCCCGGTATTGCATCAATGGAAAACCATTTTTATGTGGAGGAAAGTGTCCCTTTGGGTGTTGCTACTCATCTGACCTCTTACTCTGCTTTGGCCTCTGAGGTCAGGAGTGTGGGAGCTACTCTGCGTCTGCTCCGGCCTCCTGGCATATGGGAATTCCTGCTTGGAGTATGTTAGTGGAGTCCTGAGATGCATGGAGGTTTACAGAGGGATGCCGTTGCTGCGTGGCATGTGTGTGTGTCGACACAGATTGTGTATTTTCCTGGTTGTCCGAGAAACGCCCAGCGCATGCGTCTGCTGCGGCGCTTGCCAGACAAAAGCTCTGCTGCTTAGCATTCAAAGTGAGAGGCCAAGGTGGTGCTTCCCACCATTTGCCAACAAAGGCCCAGGTCACCCAGCTTGCCTCGGCTCTCACTCGTTTCCTTCCATCCCCCCACAGTTTACCTCACCCCTCTGCTGTCCCAGCTGAGAAAACTGCAGGCTTTTCCCCCCTAATCGCCTCGGGTCTTTTCCTCTAGCTGCCTCTTAGCTTTCACGCTCCAGTGGGTTCATCGGTCAGCTAAAGGACTTCCATCTTTTTTTTTTATTTTTTGCAGCTTTTTACCTTTCAAGTTAGCAGAGTCCTCCATGTTGATGTTTTGAGCCTATGCCAGGTGTTTGTACAAAATGATGATTCCCAGTAAATATCAGTGACCTGTATCCCTGGCATTTAGGCAGACATGGAGTTCTGCAGGTGAGCCAGCTGGTAGGTCGTACAACAGTGTAGTCCTGTGTTTCAGAACAGGTGGATGCAGTCTGCACAACCAAATATTCTCAGGAGCATGGGGCTGTTATAAATAAACTGCTGAGTTGAGATGAGCCAGCATGCAGGGTTGTTCTTTCCAGGGAGGGAGTGGGCTGATGAAGACGACCTGCGCGCTGTCAGGTCTTTAGTTTGCATATTTAGAATAAAGAGCACATTGTTTGTTGTTGTTGCAGATGATGTTGACAGTATGGGTCTTGAAATGGATCTCATACACACAGTGATGCTCATATAATTGAGTTTTTTTTGTCTGTATTAACTTTGATTTCTGTCATTTGTACCTTTAAAAAAAAAAACAAAAGTAAGATTTGTTTCTTCTGCTGTAAATATTGTGGTCAATTTTATTTAGAAATCCATTTTTCTCAGTTAGAGCAGCATCTCGCTAATGCTTCTGCAAAATCTCTTTCCATATCCTCCAAACGCTGCAAGGGAGCTTCAGTCGCTGTTGATTTTGCCTCTTTTTATCAACCCGTTTTCCTCCTGCAGTAGAAAGATATACAACTTCAGTAAATCAGGGATTGTGAATGCGAAATCCCATACTTTATCATCTCAGTATAACTCTGACGTTTTCATGCTGAACCTTTCCTTCCAAAAAACATTGTAAACAAGATGCCCACCACCTTGCAAATGTATCAAACCCTATGAATTGTGAAGGTATTTCTGTTTTCTTGTCATGCACCGCAGTCTTCAGTGTTTTTTTATTGAAATGCGTTTAATATTGAAATAGGAGGGTAATGATTCTGAGATGCAGAGATCCACAACTCATTTTAAGGAATCTGTCAACAGGACGACTATTAATCATTTACTCCACAGATCTTAACTGAATTAAAGGATGGCAAAAAGAAAACCGTAAGCTTTCCAAGACCTGTAAGAGCCATGGCACATGTGGAAGGAGAATCTCTGCAATGGTTTTTGAGCCGTACTGTAACTTCTGGCCGTGTTAGTATCTTTCACTGCACTGTGGTGGACGCACACACAGCTCCACTTGGCGGCTGGAGCTCCATTCCACTTGCACCGTTGTTGCCTGGATGCGATCCAGTTGAACGGATTTCATAGCACAGTGGAGCTTGTGGGGGTCGTATGAAAGCCCATCAGTTCAGCGCATCACTGAAAAGACGGTTTTCGTAGAATCAGCATCGTTCTGTGGGCACGCTTCCTTTCAGCGGGGTCAGTGAAGGAGCTCAGAGGGAAGATGGATGGATGGAGCTAAACACAGCGAAAATATCAGAAGGAACTTGCTGGAGGCTGCAGAAGATTTGTGACTGA